CCATCCGCGTTATAAATCCGGTCTTTTATGGTCAGCATCGATATATGTGATTCTTCTGTGCTAGAGCAAGTAAAGTTTAAATCAGCTTTTTAGAAGATACGAGTTATGTTGACCCGAAGCAATTAGTGACACAACGGTGTGATAACTTGGTAAAGTCATTTTTTTACTCCTTCGATTACCGCCATCCGTTTTTTTCGCTGACTTCCCTCTAATAGGAGAAAAACAAGTTCCCGCCGGATATTCTGCAAAGACCTTTGCAACACTGGTTTGGAAATATTTTCCAAGTTGTAAGGTAGGTGAGTTCTGCAGCAAACTTTCGCAGTTCGTAAGTAATGCAGCATGTTGAAATTGTTAATAAAACAGCCCTGTCAAGCTAAATTTTGGCAGTTGTATAAAACAAATTACGAATGGCAGACACGGTTTCTGTTCGTGGCCTCGGGTAGTGCACTTCAAAACGATTAGGTTGTTAAGAACGAAGACTGCGACAGTTGTTGCCCAACGGGAATAGCCCACCTGTGTTCCACTCAGGGCAACCCGGTTGCTACCGGCCATTTCAGGAAGGTACACTTAATTATAACGCGCGCGTTGCGTTTAATATTGCATAAATTTTGCTGCAAAGTTACTCTGCAGTAGCCCGAGCCACGTCCTTCCAGAAAAGGGTCGTAACTTTGAAGCTTTGTCATTGTCCAGCACATTAACAGCTGCATACGTGAATACTGTAGATTGTTTTCTCATGGCGCGATTGATTTATCTTGGAGAACGATGCAGCGGTATCGGCCGGTGTTGAGGGATACCAACCAGATCAGCCACCAGAACACGGTCGTCGTCCGCAATCCGGACGACACGTGGTACCTGGGATACATTCAGGATATGGACGGCGACCAGGCCTTCGTCAATTTCGACTCAACAAAGATCACGGCGCGCTGGATACACATGAGCAGCATCTGGCCGCTGCCGTTCTACTGGGAGAGTCCGGGTAACCAAGGTGCTGACATCGTGCCGGCGTACGTTGCCCTGCGCGATGAAGAGGACGGCCCGTTGCGCTTCCGGCCCGCCTACCTTAAGGGTTGGACGTGTCTGGGTTGCCAGAACTGTGAAATGTTTGCCGTGAGATCCTTCGACACCCGGGGACTGGTGTATACTGGTCAAGTGGCCGCGGAATTGCCGCCCCGGGGTCCGTCGTTGCTGGGGCGGCGCAGCGGTGTACTCTACACCAAACACTTCATTCCCTTCGCCCGGGTACAACATCTTCTAACGGATGCCTCCGATAATTACCGCATCATCAAGCACCTTCGCTGTGCGTTTCAGGACAACCGATTTTGTTTAATCGGAATGACTGCGCTCGCTTCCATCTACGCATCGAGCGGGATGGCTGCATGTTCATTACCATCAATATTGCCGATGAGGACATGGAGCTATAAGCGTGGACCTGATGAAGGTTCACGCGCAGGATCAGAATTAACGGAATTCTGCCTACCAAAAAGCCTGGCAGTGCTATAAAAGCTCGGCAGTGCTATAAAGCAGTGATGAGTGCTATAAATGCTCTCGCATGGAGCATATCCGGCGTCAGGTGCGAAGGGGCACGAGGCGGAAGAAGAAGGAGAATGGGAAGATGTAGAAGATGAAGAAAACCCGCCATACAGAGAGACGGTGTGCAGATGTCTAAAGGTCAACTATCACATGGCAGACGGAGATGAGGGATACGTCCACGGTTTTATCATTGACCCGACGACCTATATGCCGATCCCGACAGCAGGAACGAATGCGACTCCTCAAGAAATTGATTGGCAAACGCAGAAGTCGTATAGTGACCTTAATAAGATCCTCAATCTCCTGCCAGAGGACCAGCGGAATGACACTGCTGCGAATATACAAGCAGTGATGAGTATCCTCAGGCACAGGGCCGAAGAAGACCGAGCCTATTTGGTAGTCTTTTGGAAAGATGACGAAGGAAAGTGGAAATCACTCTTCGACTCCAAGGGCAAAGGGCTCTATTTTCCGGAAAACTTCCAATTTAACCCGACGGCGGAAGAGCACATTAAATATTACTCTGGTGACCCGCCGGCCCAAGCCGAAGCCATGGAGACTCAAGAAGAAATTGATAGGGGATCACCATGTCGACGCATCGAATATAAATTCATGAATCAAGAAGGAAGAGAAGGATCCTCAGAATCAAGTGGTCGATCCTCAGACAGGACAAATGGTGTCAAACGCAGGCTTCACTCCAGAAGAGGAAGAAGAGGAAACATCAAAACTTATGCAAGAGGTGGAGCAAGTGCAGGTCCTGCCACAAGAGGAAGAGCGCGAAGAATTCGAAGCCATAACCGAAGTATTGGTTAACGTCATGATGCCAAGAGCACGCCAGGACGGGGCATATATGCGCCTGACGCACATCGACCCTTTCCATGGAGAAGTGTACAAGCAGCTTTACTTCGAGAGGCGAGACATGACTAAATTGTCGGGTGCGAAAGGTCAAGAAACCGGCTGAGAAGGGTCAGCCTGAACCAGTTAAAGCAGAAGAGAAGGGTCACCAAGAAAAAGAAGAAACGAAAGGTCGAGACTAAGGAAAGACCGCAAGAACAGGAGGTCAAGAAAGAAGAGCATCTGACTCCTGTGAAGAAAGATGAAGAAGGAAAGAAAGAAGATCCGGAAGAAGAAAAGAAACCAGTAAAGTCACGGCACGAGGTGGCGCCAGTGAAACTTTGTCAGACAGCCAGAAGTTACTGGGAGTTATGGAAAGAAAAGAGAAAACCCGAATCGGACTCTGAGCCAGAACAATTGGCTATCAACGCAAAAGCAGGGTCGTCACAAGCCGAGACCGACGAGAAGGGACAGAGGTCAATCACGCAAGGTGATGGAGGAAGCGATGACGATGCAGCCGATCTATGCGTCGACGATGAAAGAACGCAAGGACAAGGCTGATAAAGAGAAGAAGAAAAGGGATACTTCTGTCGAATCGGCGAAATCGGAAGTCAGCGTCGCATCGTCAAAGTCGTCAATAAAAGAGAAAGATACAAGAAAGAAAGGCCAGAGACACAAGAAAATCTGACCCCAGCTTGGCAGATTATGGATGCACAAGAAGAAACCAAAGGTCACTGCCAGGAACACTCTTATCGGACGAGTCGACGCAGCTGACATCGTGAACTGGAGACCTGTCGAAGGGACAGCAGGTGGATTACACGGACGACGAATACGATGACCGATTCTTCGTCTGCGAGTCGAACGAACAAACAACAATCGAAGAAATTGACGAAATCCTCATCAGACAACAGCGGATTGGGGAAAGGCGACGAGATCAGTTACATCGAAATTCAGAAAGGACGTCAAGGCGTATTGCGAAGAGACGAATAAAAGACTGCCGCAGAGCAAGTACAACGCCGTCCTGGAATATGCAAGGAGCACAGGAAAAGTCCTCCAGAAACATCCGAAATATGGCTCCAAAGCGAAGCTGTACATCACCGGGAACAATAATGAGCGGAAGTTGGCTACAGCAAACGCAGATATCCGAGAACGGATTGAGCGCGCCATTATCGGGATGTGCAGTCCGATGGGCACGACGAAACACCGTATGGCACAGTTCATCAACGGAGTTTGGAGCAAAGAGAAGGGAAATGCTTCAATCATTGAAAGGTCACTCGGAAAGAGTATTAACACAGATGGTGGCGGAAAGAAGCTGCACACTACAAACCCTCATAAAGGTGTTACCATCAGATACAGCTCACTGAACGCCGTCCCAGAAGAATTGAGACAATACAAGAAGGAAGAGACAAGTGAAGATACGACCATTATATTGGATCCGAGACTCGATGCGGCATGCCCCATCTTGAGTCAGATTAAATTGGACAGTGAAAAAGCGGCAACTTCATCGAAAAAAGGGAAAGAAGAGCAAATAGAAGAATCAATGGTCATCGAAGAAAATGTCGTTGAACAACAAGAGGCAGAAACGGTCGAGAAGGGCAAACCGAAACTGCATGCACCGAAATCAGCTGAAGAAGCGATTGCGTTGGTGGGACCACCGAAACCGATGTCAGTACCAGAAGCACTTGCGGCGGTTAGAAGTCAAAAGGCTAGCGGTGGACCCAGCTCAATGGAAAAAGTTAAAGGTCATCAGACTTTAGCACAAAGCGGAGCAGCGGAGAAAGGCCACCCGAGCTCGAGCCAAGAGAAGACGGTTCAGTCGCCGCCGCCCCCGAAGGAAGAAAAAGAAAAACCTTTCGAATTACTGGAGGAGGAAATTATCGACGGCAAACCAGCTTATATGACCGTTGATGACCTAAACGAAAACAATGTCCCGTGGATGACGATTTTCGCCGCGATTGGTGCGGCTCCGTCAAGAGAAATGGATAAGACGGATATCGCCAAGGCGGTTAGTGACGCGGGAGTCAGCAGAACACAGGTCAATAAGATCATGAAAAGGGCATATAAGGAAGGGAAGATTGGCGTGAAATACACAAATACAGATGTACCCCAGCGGATTTACCCAAAGATGTGTCCTACATGGCGGTTCAATACGATTCAGGTCAAGAAAATATGAATGGCGACCGATTCAAAATCCAGAACGCACTGGATAGCTTGGTCAAGGACGGGACCATCAGAACATGGAAGAAAAACGGGATCGACCGTTATGACTGGATTGCGAAAGCATAAAGAGCAGAGCATGTGTGGGAGGAAGGTCCACCACACAAGATGAAGTTAACATGAATCAGAAACGAGAAGGAATACGCAGAGCGTGACTTACTTTCGAACCACACTCTGCAAGAAGAGTTGAATTAGCGAAGGGGCTAAAGTACTTAGCGAATGGGCTAAGATGGGAAAGGTCACCCATACAGTCGAGAATGGTCCAGTTAAAGGATGACAAAGGTCATCATGAAAGAGCAACGAAAAAGTCTCAGCTCAGCACTGAATAGCCTAGTTACCATAGGCGTAAAATAGGCGTTGAGAAGGGTTAACGTAAAGGTCATAGCATTATAATGTTTGAGATTGCAGGCTGAGACATCAAAATGGCTGAACGGAGCCAATCCAACCAGAACGCGGCGAAAAAGGGACAGAGACCAGCTGTAAAGAAGGTCACGGGAGATCCTTTGACGAATTACAACGAGGACTGCCCGGACTGTAAACGAAACAACATCCTGTCGAACGAACGTTTCCCATGCTGGACTTGCGTGGTGGCAGTACCGAACCAAGCAGTGGTGGTACCAGAAGAGGCGAGAAGGGGTAACCTCGATGTGTTCCGGCATTTGGTTACGGGAGACACATGGATGAAACTGTCACCAGAAGACCGGATGATTTTGGAAGATAAGTACAGAATGTGGGTCGGACGCAGACCGGGTTGGGATATCACCCTTGAACCACCGAAGACACCAGAAGCGGATGCGTTCAGAAAGAAGTTTGAAGAAGACACGATGAGAATGGTACAGGAAAAGCGCGAGGCAGAGCGAAAGCGGCTAGAAGAAAAAGAGAAAGCTGCGGCAGAGAAGGGTTTAGCCGAAGCAGCTAAAGGTCATACACCTGCCCCATTTGCGATATTGAAGAAACAAGATGAAGGAGAAGCAGCTGTAATCAGACAGTCGCTGATACAGCAGATTGACATCATCTTGCAAGATCCACTCGCGGTATCGAAAGAGGAATACAAAATCTTCCTGGATGAAAAGGTCAACCTGACGAAAGGAAATAGACCGTCCCAGGTTATCAAAATTGCGATTGAAGAACGAATCGACAGGATGAGAAATTTCCGAAAACGGGAGAAAGATGTGGTTGAGGCCCTTCGGAACTTCAAGAAAGAGGAGTTCAAACGCCCAAAATCGCCTCAAAGAGATGATCACAACCGCGGCTATGAAAGGTCATCAGACCGCTCCCGAGAAAGGTCATGGGATAGACATTATAACGACCGATACAGTGGATACGCGAGAGATACGCGTACGTCGGAGCAAAAGAGAAGGGATGAAGAACGTATCCGACGTGAAAAAGAACAAAGAGAAAAGCGCCGCCAAGAAGAAGCGGAAGAAAAGCGCTTGGCGGAGGAATACAGGAAAATCAACGAAACCTGTAACAGGCAGCAGGAGAAGGAACGGGCTGCTAAGGAAACGCAGAATCGCGATTCACAGAATCGAGAAGGAAGAAGTGAGGGCTCGAGTAAATCAACATCCTCAAAGGGGCCATACGATCAAGAGTGGGCCCAGGATAACTTGAATATGGATGATTATGAGTTTGGAGATAAATCTTACAACAGTAAAAGGTCATCCAGCTCAGAAAGCCACCGCACGCCTAAGAGCCCGCGCAGAATGCAATCAGTAGTTCATTCTGTTTGTTCAACGTTCAAGTCAGCCGAGAAACAACCGGCACAGCAGATGGATGAGGTCATGGAATGTAGTCCAGCATCCTCAAATGTCATTGAAGTCCATGGAGACGAGGACATGCGACCGTCGAGACGAAACATCATCTTCGATCTTGAGCATCAGCTTACAAGCGCGGAGACGGCGAGTAATGCACCGCCAGAATCAGATTCAGAGAAGGGCGACCAGAAAGGTCAATCAAAGGTCACCGCTCCGAGGAGACATTCCCTCTTAACCATCGAGCTGGTATATGAAATGAACGACATCATGGAGCAAACGAACGAGATCTGCCGTTCGGTGGGCATCGCGCCAGATAGCAAGGATGAATTCGACAAAGTTTATTGGCTTCTCATGAACTTGCGCCAGGTCATCAACGACTCGGGATACGCGAAAGAGTACGAGTATGGCCAATGGGAAGACCTGATCATTACGCAAGAATCGGCGAATCTTCATTACTTCCCGACGAGAGAATGTGGCCTTGTCAGTTTGATCGACCTGAGTCTCTTGGAAACACCGTTGGACACACCGGATCCAACAGGAATGACACAGTTCCAATACAGAGACATCAAGGAAAGACGTCTGCACGTAGCACAATTCGTATTGCGCCATGTGAATCCGGCGTTGAGACTCCTCGCAGGAAGGGCTGCGTTAGGATTAGTAGTTAAACCAGACTCCCCGCCTGATCACCGTGCTACGATCCAAAAGATTTTCGCAGCAAGGCTTGGCCATTATGAATCGCATCACCAGCTGCGAAAGAGCGCTCAAAGAGGTATAGAGATACCGCCAGCACTGACCGCGCAAGTTATAAAGCTGGGAATGCCTGTTAAGAACTTTAACTCCTCGGAAACGGCCAAGAGGCAGCTGAAGGACGTCCAGAGAGCAATGAATTTCGACGAAAGTCTGAGACGTCAAGCGAAAATGCATGCCCACCGATGTGCGGAAAGAATCAGAATCACGATGGGTACGAGATTCATCCAGCCATCCGACTTCGTCTATGATTTCATCCAAGAAATCAGCGTAAATAGAAGCAGCTACCGTCCAGAGCTTGCGAGACAGCCGCAGGAAAATGAAATGAAACGAAGAGGACGAAGAAACCAACAGCTGCATTTGGACTATGTCGAATTGTGCAAAAGGTCACGCGATAATCCATACGATGAAGGATTAAGAGCGCGAATGGTCGACGCTCGAGATCATCTGATCCGTATTCAGCGCAGACGTGACCGAAATCGGCACAGTGGTGCTAGCAGCCGGAGCGAAGGAGATGAGCTGCCTGAGAGGGAAAAGGAACCCCGGGATCGAACGTCTGATCAGAATGAAAAACAAAGACGTTTCGATCGGAACCGCGACAATGGTTCAAATGATCAGTGATGACCTTTAGGGCATCGCTGCTGTGCTAGTTACGGCCATCAGTCGGCAGCACGAGAATGGTAGTCAAGGTACAGTATTAGGGCGAAGGAGACGCAACTTTTTGAACTGTCATACCGTTCGTGTTTTGTTGTTTTCAGAATTTTGTTGCAGGGGATCAAGGCGATCTGCAGTATGGGGAGTTACGGAGGTCATCCGGCCCTCGAAGCAGGAAGAGTAACGGCGTTAACCGGCCTTCCTCATTACATTTAAACGTCACTTCTAGAGTGTAGTTGCGGCCTACCTAGTCGGCACATTCTTAAGGAATGTCAGAAGCCACAAGGGTGAAAAAGAGAAAGAGTTCAAGAAAATAGGGGTAAAAACTTTTAGAAGTTGAGGTTACGGCGATAACCGGCCTCAGAAGAAGAGGAGTTACGGCGTTAACCGGCCCTCGAACCTGGTAAGGAAAAGAAGAAAAGTGCGCGTCAATTAGCACTAAAGGAAAGGAAAGGATGTGCGACAGAAGAAAATGGTTGAGAAGATGGATGACCTTTATCAGGGAGGCAAGCAGAATTGCTTGAAAGCCAAAAATCGGCTAAGTCCCTCCATGACCTTTAATATGGAACTTATGACGGAAATGGATGACCTTTTGGGATCGTCACCGCCCAATTGAGTCGCACATCAGATGAGAAAGGATGACCTTTGAGAACTTCACTGCTCAAGAGAGTCATCAAGAAAAAGAGAATGACCTTACCAGGGAGGAAGCATTAAGCTTGTCTTTCAAGACGTCCCTCCATGTCCAAGAGGAAGAATCTCATTTGACAGAAGTCGTACTTTGATACGCAATTATTCCAAAGATGAAGAAGCAGTATTCAGAAGTCGTACTTGATACGCACCTATTCCTAAAGCGGATCTCTCATTGTGATGAAAAAGATTGCTCAATAGAGCGGAATGGACCAAAGTGGATTACGGTTGACAGGACCCAGTGACCTTTACGAGTCGGAGGATCCTAGTCGTTTTGATAATGAATTCTGTTGATATTTTTTACTGTTTTTACTTTTGTTTCGAGATCTCTTTATTCACACATGTAATTGGAATTTGTGATGTTAAAGGAGATAAATCTCGATGTTCTTTTATGCGCACAGACGAGCCGTCAAGAATCCCAAGGAATTGGACGTGGATTTTGCTTCGACGGAGCTCAGCCTCCCTCCCAGAGGCATGTGAGCGCAGGCGTACATGCGTACACCCTCGCTTTGGCAGTCTGTTGTGTTTTGTTGCACGCCCGCCTACGTGTGGCGAAAGCATGGTGTTCTGCGCGCACCCGCATCATGTGGCGGCTACGTACGCATTTTTCACGCTTGCTGCAGTCAGCAATGCGGAGTTGTCCACGAGGAAATTCTATCGAATTCAGTCTTGTCATAAATTCCTAGCAGTCACGCCATTTCTCGCTTTCTGTAGCGTAGGCGCTTTTATAGCACTGCCAGGCTTTTTGGTAGGCAGAATTCCGTTAATTCTGATCCTGCGCGTGAACCTTCATCAGGTCCACGCTTATATTCATGAATTTATATTCGATGCGTCGACATGGTGATCCCCTATCAATTTCTTCTTGAGTCTTTTGGAAAGATGACGAAGGAAAGTGGAAATCACTCTTCGACTCCAAGGGCAAAGGGCTCTATTTTCCGGAAAACTTCCAATTTAACCCGACGGCGGAAGAGCACATTAAATATTACTCTGGTGACCCGCCGGCCCAAGCCGAAGCCATGGAGACTCAAGAAGAAATTGATAGGGGATCACCATGTCGACGCATCGAATATGAATCAAGAAGGAAGAGGATCCTCAGAATCGAAGTGGTCGATCCTCAGACGGGACAAATGGTGTCAAACGCAGGCTTCACTCCAGAAGAGGAAGAAGAGGAAACATCAAAACTTATGCAAGAGGTGGAGCAAGTACTACAGGTCCTGCCACAAGAGGAAGAGCGCGAAGAATTCGAAGCCATAACCGAAGTATTGGTTAACGTCATGATGCCAAGAGCACGCCAGGACGGGGCATATATGCGCCTGACGCACATCGACCCTTTCCATGGAGAAGTGTACAAGCAGCTTTACACTTCGAGAGGCGAGACGCTGACTAAATTGTCGGGTGCGAAAAAGGTCAAGAAACCGGCTGAGAAGGGTCAGCCTGAACCAGTTAAAGCAGAAGAGAAGGGTCACCAAGAAAAAGAAGAAACGAAAGGTCAAGAGACTAAGGAAAGACCGCAAGAACAGGAGGTCAAGAAAGAAGAGCATCTGACTCCTGTGAAGAAAGATGAAGAAGGAAAGAAAGAAGATCAGAAGAAGAAAAGGAAACCAGTAAAAGTCACGGCACGAGAAGGTGGCGCCGGTGAAACTTTTGTCAGACAGCCGAAGTTACTGGGAGTTATGGAAAAGAAAAGAGAGAAACCCGAATCGGACTCTGAGCCAGAACAATTGGCTATCAACGCAAAAGCAGGGTCGTCACAAGCCGAGACCGACGAAGAGAAGGACAGAGGTCAATCACGCAAGGTGATGGAGGAAGCGATGACGATGCAGCCGATCTATGCGTCGACGATGAAAGAACGCAAGGACAAGGCTGATAAAGAGAAGAAGAAAAGGGATACTTCTGTCGAATCGGCGAAATCGGAAGTCAGCGTCGCATCGTCAAAGTCGTCAATAAAAGAGAAAGATACAAGAAAGAAAGGCCAGAGAGACACAAGAAAATCTGACCCCAGCTTGGCAGATTATATGGATGCACAAAAGAAACCAAAGGTCACTGCCAGGAACACTCTTATCGGACGAGTCGACGCAGCTGACATCGTGAACTGGAGACCTGTCGAAGGGGACAGCGAATTGGATTACACGGACGACGAATACGATGACCGATTCTTCGTCTGCGAGTCGAACGAACAAACAACAATCGAAGAAATTGACGAAATCCTCATCGGAGCAACAGCGGATTGGGGAAAGGCGACGAGATCAGTTACATCGAAATTCAGAAAGGACGTCAAGGCGTATTGCGAAGAGACGAATAAAAGACTGCCGCAGAGCAAGTACAACGCCGTCCTGGAATATGCAAGGAGCACAGGAAAAGTCCTCCAGAAACATCCGAAATATGGCTCCAAAGCGAAGCTGTACATCACCGGGAACAATAATGAGCGGAAGTTGGCTACAGCAAACGCAGATATCCGAGAACGGATTGAGCGCGCCATTATCGGGATGTGCAGTCCGATGGGCACGACGAAACACCGTATGGCACAGTTCATCAACGGAGTTTGGAGCAAAGAGAAGGGAAATGCTTCAATCATTGAAAGGTCACTCGGAAAAGTATTAACACAGATGGTGGCGGAAAAGAAGCTGCACACTACAAACCCTCATAAAGGTGTTACCATCAGATACAGCTCACTGAACGCCGTCCCAGAAGAATTGAGACAATACAAGAAGGAAGAGACAAGTGAAGATACGACCATTATATTGGATCCGAGACTCGATGCGGCATGCCCCATCTTGAGTCAGATTAAATTGGACAGTGAAAAAGCGGCAACTTCATCGAAAAAAGGGAAAGAAGAGCAAATAGAAGAATCAATGGTCATCGAAGAAAATGTCGTTGAACAACAAGAGGCAGAAACGGTCGAGAAGGGCAAACCGAAACTGCATGCACCGAAATCAGCTGAAGAAGCGATTGCGTTGGTGGGACCACCGAAACCGATGTCAGTACCAGAAGCACTTGCGGCGGTTAGAAGTCAAAAGGCTAGCGGTGGACCCAGCTCAATGGAAAAAGTTAAAGGTCATCAGACTTTAGCACAAAGCGGAGCAGCGGAGAAAGGCCACCCGAGCTCGAGCCAAGAGAAGACGGTTCAGTCGCCGCCGCCCCCGAAGGAAGAAAAAGAAAAACCTTTCGAATTACTGGAGGAGGAAATTATCGACGGCAAACCAGCTTATATGACCGTTGATGACCTAAACGAAAACAATGTCCCGTGGATGACGATTTTCGCCGCGATTGGTGCGGCTCCGTCAAGAGAAATGGATAAGACGGATATCGCCAAGGCGGTTAGTGACGCGGGAGTCAGCAGAACACAGGTCAATAAGATCATGAAAAGGGCATATAAGGAAGGGAAGATTGGCGTGAAATACACAAATACGAATGTACCAATCCACTACATCTCCAGCGGAAGAACAACGAAAGCAGAGACCGAAGCCGGGTCCTCAAGCGTGGAAAGATGCCCTGACAAAAGACGCCTTACAGAACATCGGCGGAACTAACGGGTTTACCCAAGAAGATGTGTCCAACTACATGGCGGTTCAATACGATTCAGGTCAAGAAAATATGAATGGCGACCGATTCAAAATCCAGAACGCACTGGATAGCTTGGTCAAGGACGGGACCATCAGAACATGGAAGAAAAACGGGATCGACCGTTATGACTGGATTGCGAAAGCATAAAGAGCAGAGCATGTGTGGGAGGAAGGTCCACCACACAAGATGAAGTTAACATGAATCAGAAACGAGAAGGAATACGCAGAGCGTGACTTACTTTCGAACCACACTCTGCAAGAAGAGTTGAATTAGCGAAGGGGCTAAGATGGGAAAGGTCACCCATACAGTCGAGAATGGTCCAGTTAAAGGATGACAAAGGTCATCATGAAAGAGCAGCGAAAAAGTCTCAGCTCAGCACTGAATAGCCTAGTTACCATAGGCGTAAAAATAGGCGTTGAGAAGGGTTAACGTAAAGGTCATAGCATTATAATGTTTGAGATTGCAGGCTGAGACATCAAAATGGCTGAACGGAGCCAATCCAACCAGAACGCGGCGAAAAAGGGACAGAGACCAGCTGTAAAGAAGGTCACGGGAGATCCTTTGACGAATTACAACGAGGACTGCCCGGACTGTAAACGAAACAACATCCTGTCGAACGAACGTTTCCCATGCTGGACTTGCGTGGTGGCAGTACCGAACCAAGCAGTGGTGGTACCAGAAGAGGCGAGAAGGGGTAACCTCGATGTGTTCCGGCATTTGGTTACGGGAGACACATGGATGAAACTGTCACCAGAAGACCGGATGATTTTGGAAGATAAGTACAGAATGTGGGTCGGACGCAGACCGGGTTGGGATATCACCCTTGAACCACCGAAGACACCAGAAGCGGATGCGTTCAGAAAGAAGTTTGAAGAAGACACGATGAGAATGGTACAGGAAAAGCGCGAGGCAGAGCGAAAGCGGCTAGAAGAAAAAGAGAAAGCTGCGGCAGAGAAGGGTTTAGCCGAAGCAGCTAAAGGTCATACACCTGCCCCATTTGCGATATTGAAGAAACAAGATGAAGGAGAAGCAGCTGTAATCAGACAGTCGCTGATACAGCAGATTGACATCATCTTGCAAGATCCACTCGCGGTATCGAAAGAGGAATACAAAATCTTCCTGGATGAAAAGGTCAACCTGACGAAAGGAAATAGACCGTCCCAGGTTATCAAAATTGCGATTGAAGAACGAATCGACAGGATGAGAAATTTCCGAAAACGGGAGAAAGATGTGGTTGAGGCCCTTCGGAACTTCAAGAAAGAGGAGTTCAAACGCCCAAAATCGCCTCAAAGAGATGATCACAACCGCGGCTATGAAAGGTCATCAGACCGAAAGGTCATGGGATAGACATTATAACGACCGATACAGTGGATACGCGAGAGATACGCGTACGTCGGAGCAAAAGGGATGAAGAACGTATCCGACGTGAAAAGAACAAAGAGCGCCGCCAAGAAGAAGCGGAAAAGCTTGGCGGAGGAATACAGGAAAATCAACGAAACCTGTAACAGGCAGCAGGAGAAGGAACGGGCTGCTAAGGAAACGCAGAATCGCGATTCACAGAATCGAGAAGGAAGAAGTGAGGGCTCGAGTAAATCAACATCCTCAAAGGGGCCATACGATCAAGAGTGGGCCCAGGATAACTTGAATATGGATGATTATGAGTTTGGAGATAAATCTTACAACAGTAAAAGGTCATCCAGCTCAGAAAGCCACCGCACGCCTAAGAGCCCGCGCAGAATGCAATCAGTAGTTCATTCTGTTTGTTCAACGTTCAAGTCAGCCGAGAAACAACCGGCACAGCAGATGGATGAGGTCATGGAATGTAGTCCAGCATCCTCAAATGTCATTGAAGTCCATGGAGACGAGGACATGCGACCGTCGAGACGAAACATCATCTTCGATCTTGAGCATCAGCTTACAAGCGCGGAGACGGCGAGTAATGCACCGCCAGAATCAGATTCAGAGAAGGGCGACCAGAAAGGTCAATCAAAGGTCACCGCTCCGAGGAGACATTCCTCTTAACCATCGAGCTGGTATATGAAATGAACGACATCATGGAGCAAACGAACGAGATCTGCCGTTCGGTGGGCATCGCGCCAGATACAAGGATGAATTCGACAAAGTTTATTGGCTTCTCATGAACTTGCGCCAGGTCATCAACGACTCGGGATACGCGAAAGAGTACGAGTATGGCCAATGGGAAGACCTGATCATTACGCAAGAATCGGCGAATTCATTACTTCCCGACGAGAGAAATGTGGCCTTGTCAGTTTGATCGACCTGAGTCTCTTG